AAAAAAAAAAAAAAAAATGTCCTGGAGGACATTATGTTAAGTGAAATAAAGCAGGCACAGGAGGATAAATTCTTCATGTTCTTACTCATGTGGAAGCTAAAAAAATTGATCTCATGAAGGTCAAAGTAGAGCAGTGGTTACTAGTGGCTAGGAAGGAAAGTGGGGAGGGTGACTAGAGAGGTTGGTTAATGGATACAAAATTACAGCTGGATAGGAGGAATAAATTCTAGTGTTCTATAGCACCATAGGGGCATAATAGTTAACAATTTATTGTGTATTTTGAAATACCTAGAAGAGAGAGTTTTGAATGTTTCCAACGCAAAGAAAGGATAAATGTTTGCGGTGATTTTTTTGGCTAATTACTCTGATTTGATCATTACACATTGTATGTGTGTATCGAAATATCACACCACAGCCCATAAATTCTATGGGCTGTATTATTAGGTGCTCATTAAAAACAACTTTAGGTTGAGGTGGAAAGATCTCTTGAGCCCAGGAATTTGAGGCTGCAGTAAGCTGGGATTCTGCCACTAAACTCTAGCCTGGGCAACAGGCTAGAGACCCTGTCTCAAAAAAATATGTTTTTAATTTTAAAAAAAAAAACAGCTAAGGCTGGGTGCCATAGCTCATGCCTGTAATCCCAGCCCTTTGGGAGGCTGAGGTGGGCAGATCACTTGAGGTCAGGAGTTTGAGACCAGCCTGGCCAACATGGTAAAGCCCTGCCTCTACCAAAAATTACAAAAATTAGCCAGGTGTGGTGGCACATGCCTGTAGTCCCACTTACTCAGGAGGGTAAAGTGGGAGAACTGCTTGAACCTGGGACCAGAGATTGCAGTGAGCTGAGACTGAGTCACTGCACTCCAGCCTGGGTGACAGAGTGAGACCCCATCTCAAATAATACAAATTAAATTAAAAAACAGCTTTAAAAAGATATTGGGCTGGCAAGCAGGGAAAAAAAGGGGTGTCATAGATTCATTCTTTCATTCTATAGCTCTTATGAAGGGTCCTCTTTGTTTCAGGCACTGTTTGGGTGATGGAGATACAGAGAGAAGCACATGATGTATGATTCTTCAGGAGCTGCTGGGCTAGTGCCGGGATGATGGCAAACATATAAAACCTCGGCAGGGGAGACAATGCGGGAGCTGTGTCCTTAGTGATGGCAGGGAGTAAGGAAAGGGCATTCAAGGGCCTGGTGCCTCCAGAGACAAGGAAGGGAGACTGGGGCATATGGAGGGCCTGGAGAGGCTTAGGTCAGAGCTAAGACCAGAGGTACGGTGAGGTTATGGTGTGGAAGGCCTTGAACACCAACCTAGGGGGATTTGACTTGATGTAGTAGGCAACTGGGAGTCACGTCGTTTCTAAGTCAGGGGATGAACATGCTCCGATTGCTGTGGAAGAATTTTCCAAGCAGCACTATTGAAAAGAGCGGTAGAGCTTGGATGCAGGGAGACACAGCATCTGGAGGCTGCTGCAGCCCTTGGCATGTATACAGCTGGTGCTCACCTCTGCCCTGCCTTTGTTTCCTCCTACCTTTCCTGATTTTCCTCTATCTCCTTCCTCTTCTTTACCTACTGCCCTCACTTTCTTCACCAGTTACTTTCTCCTGCATCCTTTCTTCCAGAAAGGGACAGAAGCTGTAATCGTGGACAGACTAGAACAGATCCTTTTGCCTCCTTTAGTATTTCTACTTCGAGTAAAAATGTCCAGTGAGAGTGTACTTCCGGAATATATTATCCTTATCAATCAAAGAACTAATGAACTTTGGCAATAAACTATCCGGTGATGTACTTGTGGGGAAAGCCTGAACACATTTAAGGAATTTGGCGAGCAGTGCAGTTTCAAGGTGACCCTATTTATAGAATGGAGGCACCTTGCAGCTCCTAAATGAACACATACTTCCAATCTGCTGTGGCATCATTCCGGTTCCTCTAGAATTTTCCTTGGCATCACCCGCAAGCCCCAACTTGTCCTATGGGGACAAGACACAGACTCACCAACTGTGAAATTCTGAAAGGCAGCTGATCTGCAATACTCACTGTGGCACCAACCTGCTGGTTTGAACAAGTATGAAAACCTTTTAGCAGAATACCAAGCAACAGGAAGTGAAAATTACCCTCATAGTGACCACGAGAAAAGCTTCTCCAATGCACAGTTGCAAAAGGTGCAGGGTAGTTATAGGATTCCTCAAAAATTAAAAAGAAATGCAGTCACTTAAAAAATAAAATAAAATCCAGCCAAACACGACTCTAAAGCAAACTAGCTAGCAAGAATAGCCAGTATGTATCCCAAAAGCAAGGGGCTTTGCTTTTGTGAACCCGAAATAGAAAGTACAAACTAATGGTTTGGCCTGAGTCTTTTTCAGACATACCCAGGTATACAGATAGTGATCGTGATAGTAATAAAATGAGGGTCTTTAAGGATTTCTTTCCTTTTTTTTTTTTTTTTTTTTTGAGACAGTCTTTCTCTGTCACCCAGGCTGGAGCGCAGTGGCGCGATCTCCGCTCACTGTAAGCTCCGCCTCCTGGGTTCACGCCATTCTCCTGCCTCAGCCTCCCGAGCAGCTGGGACTACAGGTGGCCACCACCACTCCCGGCTAATTTTTTGTATCTTTGGTAGAGACAGGTTTTCACCATGTTAGCCAGGATGGTCTCGATCTCCTGACCTTGTGATCCACCTGCCTCAGCCTCCCAAAGTGCTGGGATTACAGGCGTGAGCCACTGTGCCCGGCCTAAGGATTTCTTTTGGTCTTTGTTTTTCTGTATGTTGATTAGTTATTACTGCATAATAAAACACTCTAGGCTGGGCACAGTGGCTTGCGCCTATAATCCCAGCACTTTGGGAGGCCGAGGAGGGTGGATCACTTGAGGTCAGGAGTTCAAGACCAGGCTGGCCAATACAGCGAAACCCCGTCTCTACTAAAAAATTAGCCAGTGTGGTGGTGGGCACCTGTAATCCCAGCTACTCGGGGGGCTGAGGCAGGAGAATCTCTTGAACCTGGGAAGCAGAGGTTGCAGTGAGCCATGATCGTGCCATGGCACTCCAGCCTGGGCAACAAGAGTGAAACTCTGTCTCAAACAAAAACAAAACAAACAAACAAAAAACGTGGTTAGAATAGTACATTTTATGTTGTATGTATTTTACCAAAATTAAAAAAGAAGTCAAAATAGTTTAAATAAAACAAGACCAATTATATGACTATAGTCTTACATCTGTAGTAGGAATGGGCCAAGCAGAATACAAAATTCCCAAAGGCCTTTTAAAATACACTGGTGAGATACTACTTAGCCCAGGGCCTGGTGGCTAGGCTGGTTCTCTCCTTTCCAATTAGAGGTCTCTGCCGCTAACATGCTCCACCAGATCATCGGTCAGGCTAAGAAGCATCCAAGCTTGATCCCCCTCTTAGTATTTATTGGAGCTGGAGGTACTGGAGCAGGACTGTATCTCTTGCGTCTGGCATTGTTCAATCTGGATGTTAGTTGGGACAGAAAGAATCACCCAGATCCCTGGAACAAACTGGGTCCCGATGATCAATACAAGTTCTACTCAATGAATGTGGATCACAGCAAACTGAAGAACGAAGGTCCAGACTTCTAAATGAAATGTTTCACTACAAAGCTGCTTTAGACCGAAGGTCTTCCAGAATTCATCCGCACAATTTTCCACTTCACTAGGAAATATTTCTCCTCTAAATGAATGAAATCATGTTGATGTAACCTATTGGAGATTACACTGATTAATAAATAACTGAAACTTGAAAAAATAATACACTGGAAGTCATTCTACAGTGATCCCATCCACCAAATAAACTTCAGATATAAGACGCTGGAAGATGCCACTTGGTTCCAGTTCTCCAAACTCTGGAATTAAGCCAGGGAAAGAAGTAAAAATGTTTAGAAACATAGTGTTTCTATACAGGACGGTAGGATTTAGGAAGGCCCAGGGTCATCTGTAAACTTTTCCCTCCTTCCAAAGATTAATGCTGTAAAACATTTGTATTAAATAATACTTCAATCCAGTGCTGTACCGACGTCTGGACCAACTTCTTTCTGTTCTGGGGAACAGATGTTCCCTGTTTATCATTGTCTTCTAGTGTTTCACTGGTTTTTGATGCCCTCATTTTATTTCTCCAGGATTATTTGTTTTCTTATTCTTTTTTAGAGCAGTTCTTAGTCAAAACTTCTTGAAAATTCAAATAAATATGTTTGCTGAGTTTCCTTTGCCTTAAGTTTTAAAAACTCTTTTAGAGAACCCTTCTGGCAGGTTACAGTGGCTGATCTGATTGATAAGCTTGCTCCTGGCCAGTTTCCTGTTGGTTACCCGACCCAGCTACGGGTTCTCCAACAACCCATGTTCCTAGAGATGAGCTGCAGTGAACCTCACTCATCTGTATTTGCTTTTATCCTAAAGTTTCACAGAGGTGACATATGACATTTTGCCTCACAAAGAGTTGCAATTGTTAAAGGCAATATTGTATTTCTTTTTGTGTTTTGGCCCCATTTGCCCTTCTTACAGAATTTTAGTTGTGTCAACGCCAAACAGCTGATGGACTTTGAAATCGCTCTGCAATTTGCATCTTTTGATACTTCTAGCTCATTGCGTTTTAAAAACTTAGTCTCCCTTGGGGAAAAAAGCCATAGAATGCTCCTAGTATCTTCTGCAAATAAAGGACCCACACCAAAAAATTCAGGCTCTTTAAAGTCTCATATTCCTCACTGAGCGGGTTCTGGCGACTGTCTTAGCAAAACCACCGCAGAGACTTCCGGTGGCCTGGCAGCACCTTTGAACAAGATCATCTCAGCAAAGCAAAGGACAGGGCTGCTCTGTACAGAATGCAATAGCAAATAAGCAAGGCTGAACTTCACCGGCCTTCTATTTGGCAATACTACAGAGTGCCTCCCTTCCCTCTTCTGAGAAAGACAGAGGACGATTTCAGCGCAGAAGGCCGTGCGCGTTCGCTTGGAAATCTAGGTCATAACCTTGACTTTGGGAAAGCCAGGGTGGCCTACCTGAAACTGTCCAATCCCCCGGCATCGTGGACACGTCCCCATGTCCCTCAAGATGTCTGTTCTGGTCTGAGCCGTCCGTAGTGTCCAGGAAAAGCACGGGTAGCTCAAGAATTTCTCTGTCAAGAGTTTTAGTGCTGCAAGCCTGGTGAGGACAGGGCGGTGGGAGGGTTTGAAATACTGTTTTGACTTTGAATTTGATTTTATAATGTATTAGATGGATAGATGCGAAATGGATTGTTAACATGTATGTGGAGGGGCGGGAAGAGCTTCTGGAAAGCCTCAGCCCTGAGTGCCTACTCCTGAGTGGGAAAATCCCCTGCACGGGTTGGGAGCGCTCCCTAAGTCGTCCGGAAGTAAAATCGCATGGCCTGTGTTCCAAAAATGCCGCCACTCAGGATGTCAAGTCTGCAGGTTTCCAGCCTTGAGAGCCCAGCCCCAGGCAGAGGCACCGCGCAGGCCTGGATATACATGACTCGCCCTGCGCCGGGCTGTCCTCGGTGGGCAGGGTTGGAGCTGGTGGGGCGGGGCAGGGTAGGGCGGGGCCAGATGGGAGG